GAGAAGGTTCCATGTGTGCTGGAAAAAAATGTATATTATGCTGTTGTTGGACTGAGTGTTCTTTATACATCCATGAAGTCTAGTTGGTTGATTGTGTTGTTTAAATCTTCTGTATCTCTGTTCTATTTCTTTCTGGTTGTTCTGTCCTTCATTGAAGGTGGTGTATTAAATTATCTTACTATTATTGTGTAATTGTCAATTTCTCCTTTCAATTCTATTAATGTTTTATTTATATACTATGGGGCTCTTTCATTGGGTGCATAAATATTTTTTATGGTTATGTCCTCTTGTTCAGTTGACCCTTTAATCATTATATAATGCCTTTTATTGTCTGTTATACTGGTTTTTGCTTTAAAGTCCATTTTATCAGAAATTAATAGTGCCGTGGCTGTTCTTTTTTGGTTGCCATTTGCTTGATACATGTTTTTCCAACTTTTGATTTTTAGCTGATTTTTGTCTTTGAGTCTAAGATGTAGATAGCGTATTGATGAGTCTTGTTTTCTTATCCACTCTGCTACTTGTGACTGATGCATTTAATCCTTTTACATTCAATGTAGTTATTGATAGGTATGAATTTACTTTTGCTGTTTTCCTGTTTTTGTGTGTGTGGTGGTGATGATTTGTTTGTTCCCTATATTCTTTTGTGCTGAACTCATTTTGTTTATGGAGTTTCTATTGTTTTAATGTTTTCTGAGACACTATGGTTTTCATCTATTTTGGTGTGAAGGTTATTATCTTTGAAGTTACACTGTAATTTATTATTATCTTCCCAAGTTTAAAGCTGTCCATTCTATCTTAATACTGTCTTGCCTTCCTCTCTACTTGGAAGTTCTGTAATGACATTTATTCCCTGTTTCTGCTTTATTGTTATCATTATTTACAAATTGGGATCTCTGGGTCCCTGTTTCCCATCTTGTAGTTGTTGGTTTTTTTTTTTTTTTTGACAAATCTATTTCTCATTTGAGTTGTAGGTGATGTTGCCATATGTCTTAATCTCTGGTTGTTTTCTGTCCAGAGGACTCCCTTTAGCATGTCTTGTAAGTTTGGTCTGATTTTTTGCAAATTCTCTTTAATTTCTGTTTATCTGACAATGTCCCAATTTTATCATCATATTTGAGAGACAGTGTTGCTAGATATATAATGTGTGGTTAGCAATTTTTTTTTCTTTCAGAGTTTTATATATTTCATCCCATTGCCTTCTTGCCTGTGTGGCTTCTGCTGAGAAATAAGAGCTTAGTTTTATTGGCTCTCCTTTGTAGGTAACTTTGTTTTTGTCGAGCTGCTCTCTGGATTCTTTCTTTGTCTTTGATTTTGGAAAGTTTGATTATGATATGTCTTAGTGTTTTTCTTTTGGAATCTATTTAAGGTTCGTTGAGATTGTTGAATGCATATCTTTTCATCTTTCATGATATTAGGGAAGTTTTCTTCCAACAAATCTTCAGTAATTTTCTCAGTGCTGTTTTTTTCCTCTCTCTGTCTTTTCCTGTTCTGGAATTACAATCATTGGTAAGTTAGTCCTCTTCATGGTGTCCCAAATGAATTTTAAGCTTTCTTCATTTTGGTTAATTCTTTTTTTCTGATTTTTCCCCCAGCAGACAGGTGTTAAGAGATTTGTCTTCAATCTCATCAATTCTGTGTTCCATTGATTCATTTCTACTCTTTTCTTCTTCTAATGCATTATCCATTTATGAAATTTTAATATTAATCTTCTGGATTTCTATTTGCTGTTTTTGTATGGTTTCTAATTTTCCATTTATTTTGTCAATTCTTTTATTTAAAAAAAATGTACAGTTTTGTCTGTATTATCTTTGATTTTGCTTGTTGTTTGCTCAAACTTTCTCTTAATCCATTGACGGTACCTAAATATAATTCTTTTGAATTCCTTTTCGGGTAATTCCACTAGCATTCTTTCCTCAGGAAGATTTTCTGGCCCTGCACTTTGCTCACTTATTTGAGGCACCATATATTGTTTTTTCCTGTGATTTAAAGTTGTTTTTTATCTCCAAGACATTGTAGTGTTATTATATTACTTTGTTGATATATGTTGTTTGCGTCACCCTGATTTTTTGTTTTGTTCTGTTTTAATATGCCCAGGTAACAGAGCAATCATTTTATTCTGGTTCCTAGTTTGGCAGCACTGGGGGACTTACCACTTGTTTCTGGGCAGATTTAGTAACAAGTGGGAGTGTGAGCACAAGTCGCTGATTACTGATCATGCAGAGCAGCTGAGGGCAGGCTGGGTGGGTGTTGCCCACAGTCTGTTGTTGGTCCAGTATTGCTGGAGCAGATAGTGGCACTCGCCCTGTAGGTGGGATAGTATATGTGGGTGGGACACCAGTGTGAGTGCTGGTGCATTCCTGGACAAGTGGAGCAGTTACCTGGTTCTTGCTCTGATCACAATGCTCCTTGCAATAATTAAAAATGGCTACACTGTGCTAGTTAGCAGTTTACTGCTCCTTGTTCTGTGTTTTTATTTGGTCTCTTTTTCTCATCAGTATTTGATCTGCTTCTTTATCCTTTCCTTTGAAGCGTTGGGATCCAGAATTTTTACCCATGGTTGTTTCTCTTGATTTTGAGTCTTTGTTGTAGAGGGTCTGATAGTATGTCTGCTTAGTCTGCCATCTTGGACGTGGAACTCCAGAGAATTTATGTAAGGAAATTGAATAAAAAAATCAGTGATTGGTTGACATTTAGGTAATGGCTACAAAATTGAGTATATCTGATTGGTAGGAGATCATGTGTGTGTGTGTGTGTGTGTGTGTGTGTATGTATATATATTTTAAGTTACAAAATAATCATTAAATTGGGTACATCTGGTCTCAATTGTGAGACCCTCCTAGTGTAACTGCAGGGAAGACATGCATAATTCTCAAGTTTGTTTTGAGTAAGCATCTGTTCTGAAAATTGTTTGGGACCTGGCTTCTTAGGCAGCCAACAAAACCTGTAAGCAAGCAAAATTACATTGCTTCCAGGAAATATTTACCAAGGAACTTTCTCAAGGTACAATGGAGAGTTACAGGAATTACATCCTGATGCTGAGGTTACTTTTGATTCAGAATGGAGGTTTAGCCTCACACCTTAGCATAGCCGCCATCTCACATCAGAAGTCCTAGGTTAATTTAGGGCAAACCAAAAACCAGACTAACTGCTTTTGAATTGATCCTGACTCATAGTGACCCCTCCTTGGGTTTCTGAGGTGGAATCACTACGGAAGTAGATCACCCAACCTTCCTTATGAGGAGTGTCTGGTGGGTTTGCACTGCCAGCCTTCTGGTTAGCAGTCAAATGCCTTAGGCACTACACCACCAGAGCTCCTATTAATTTAGGGCACTCTTATGTAATCCTTTGTTATTCTTTTCCAAGATTATTTTGGCCATGCAGGTCCCCTTGAAATCCCATATGAATCTGAGAATCAGCTTTTCCATTCTGAAAAAAAAAAAAAAAAAATGGCCATTGGAAGTTTGGTAGAGATTGTGTTGTATCTGTAGATCACTTTGGGTATACTGTCATCCTAACATTATAAAGTCTTAATATTGTAGCATCATTCACAATAGCGAAAAGGTGGAAACAACCCTAATATCTATCAACAGATGAATTGATAAGCAAAAATTGGTATATACATTTTATTTTATTATTCTGTCATAAAGAGAATATTATTCAATGATACAGAGAAATGAAATCTTGGTACATGTTATGACATGGATGAAGGAGCTCTGGTAGCATAATGCCTAAGGCACTTGGCTGCTAACCAGAAGGCTGGTGGTTCAAACCCATCAACCACTCCTCGGAGGGAAGATGGGGCAATCTACTTCCATAATGATACTGCCTCAGAAACCCAAGGCGGGGTCACTATGAGTCGGGTCTGACTCGATGACACACAACAACAACAACAACAACATGACGTGGATGAGCCTTGAGAACATAATGCTGAGTGAAGTAAGTCAGGCACAAAAGGACAACTGTTGTATGATCCCACTTACATAAAATGCCCAGAATAGGCTGATGCTCAGAGACAAAGTTTTATTAGCAGTTACCAGAGACTGAGGGAAGGGGTGGTTGAAAAGATACTGCTTACAGTGTTCAGAGTTACTGTATGAGATGTCGAAAAACTTTTGGCAATAGATATGGTTATACAACATGGTAAATGTAATTAATGTTAGTGAATTCTATACTTAAAAATGGTTAAAATGATATATGTTACCACAATTTAAATTTTAAAAATAATAAAAAAAAGGCTCAAAGCCAAATGAGTTTGGGAAACCCAGCATCTTCTCTTTTCCTCTTGGATATTGACCATTCAAATGAGTATAGTAAAGACTCTGAAATGTCCTGATTTCCAGTTTGAACTGTGCTTCATTGCATGTTTCTCAAACTTACTTGCCCATGGAACCTTCTTCTCTGGAGGACCATTTACCAACCTTGGCAGAGCACCTATGTTCCATACTTCTAAATTTACCAAAGGCTGGGTGTCTGAGTCATTGGAAGACCTTGCTCACTCCTTGGGACAGGAATTTATGCAGCTCACTACGTATACTGATTAATTTTACAAATTCATTAAAAAAAATTGTTCCATCTGCTGTCTAGTAAATACAAGGTAAACAAAAACCATGTTTTTATGGGACTTACCTTATAGTGGTAAGGGTTTGGAAAGACATACAGTACACAGGTAACAGGTTATATCTGCAAGTTAAGGGTTAAAGAAAAAACAAAAGAGGATGGCAGGGGGAGGGATGGTGGCACCAGTACACTGAAAGAGGATAATATTGGAACAGAGCCCTGTAGGTGTGATGGAAGTACCACTCAGAGACCTATGGGAAACATTAGAGCAAGATGACAGCTAGTGCCAAAACCCAAGCAGGAACAAACTTTGCATGTTGGAGAAACAAAGGAAGGATGAGTGTGCTGGGGCAGAGGCCAGATGAAAGATACCATCCTTTTGGCCAAGAAAGGGAAGATACACAGAGAAGGCTGGCACAAAGGTATATTTCTGTTTCTTCTAGATCCAATTCCTTGTGTAGACCCGCTATCCTCAAAGGAGCCACCTGGCCCCCTCATTGGCCCACAGCTTCTGAACCATGCCGGCCTCAATGACCCCACTAGCAGTGTACTTACCCCTTTGGTACCATCCTCCTTTCCTGTGACTGACTCACCCCAAGACACAGCATTGCTAGCAGCCACCACCATGCCAGAGCCAGCAACAGGGTCTACCATCCAAGCAGAAGGTGCTGGCACCCCTCCAGGGCTGGGCAGAGATCATGAGATGCCCCCAGTGCTTATGGAGACCCTTGATACCCAGTGTGCTGTGCAGCCCCTTGGTTCCAGCCAAGAACCCTGTACCCAACATCTGGGGGAGTCAGCTTCAGCCCTGGAAGCAAGCACTTGGGGAGAGCCCCTGCCATCACTGGCATCTGAGCCCAGCCCCCTTGACCTGGCCACTTCTCAGCTCCCCAGCCCCCCACTGGGGCCCACTGCCCCCACTCTGCCCCCTGTGGCCATGGAATCTGATAGTGAAGGGCCACCCCCCAGGGTGGGCTTTGTGGACAACACCATCAAGAGCCTGGATGAGAAGTTACGCACCCTGCTCTACCAGGAGCACATCCCCACATCCTCTGCCTCGGCAGGGACCCCAGTCGAGCTGGGCGACAGAGACTTTACCCTGGAGCCTCCCTCTTCAGCTTTGGCCGATGTGCCCCCAGGTCCTACCCTGCTGCCTGAGCCCATGGTGAGTGGCCTGTGCACCTGGAAGCCTGAAAGGGAGGGAAGGTGGAGGAGGTAGAAGAGCTGGAGCAGGCAGGAATTTCCACCAGCCAGCCCCAAGGCTCCATTCTTGCCCCTGCTGGGTCAGGATGCCCACATGCATTTGCAAGGAAGGCCAGTTATAGAGGCTCAGCATGAGGGTACTGCATGTGGTGACATAGTCCACCCAGTATGTATATGTCCTGTGCCCTATGTGGTATGACTGGGGTCCCTGAAGGGGAGGGTCTGGGAGATGAAGTCCAGCCCTCAGAGACAAGAAGAAGAAATGACTGCATAATTTAGCTGTTGGAGATGTTAACAAGTAAGACTCATGATGTTTTCTTTTTCTGTTGCTTCCTGAAGTTGGAAAAGTCAGAAATGGCAATAAGACAAGTGGGTGCGCTGGAACAGCGGCAGCCTTTGACAGTAACAGGTAATCAAATCAAGGTCCACTGGCTTGCTTGGGTATGGGGTGCTGACAGTCCTCACCTCTGTTCCTCAAAGTGCCCTCTGTTTTATACAGACACAATGTTTTTGAGATGTAACAAAGAGTCATCATAACTCTAATTAAAACCCATTGAGTTCTAGAATAAACCAATAATCACACTAAGGAGAGAAATAAGAGCAGTGGTTGGGCATTTAGGATAATGTGGGGAGCTGTTGTCTTGGCCCTTCTGGACTTGCTGAAGAATGAGTGTTCTACCATTCTTTTCCCCTGTGCTTTCTTAGCAAGGCTTCAAAATATTAGGGTTCCAAGGTATTTTGAGAGAGTGGGGCTGTGGGTTTTAGAAGCTAGATGAAGCAGCAGTGGGCTGGGGCCATCTGAGATAATCCTGGAGGCAGGATTTCTGTTACTCCAGGGTATTCATCCTGGGTATTGTGAAAGTCTGTGGAAACTTTTTGCATTGGTTCTCATTTCATTATCTGAATACCCAATGTCTTCAGCCCATGGGATCTGATTTGACCTTCTGAGGTATAGTGTTCCTTCTCAGTCTGGAATTTCTTGGGGGATTGGTAAAATAAGAGTCAGCAGCCCTAGGGAGCCTGTAACAAGACCATCTTCTTGGTGTATGTTAGCAGTGAGGTCCTGAGCTTGGGCTATGTTCACAAAGCAAGGACTGATTCCCTGGCTGCTGCTTTTGCCTCTAGATGGTACACTCAGAAGGACTGGGGATGCACCTAGAGTTGATCAATGCTTGAGAACTAGGAAGTGTTATGTTTAGCCTGAGGATATGAAGGATCAGAGGACTGAAGTAGAAATGCCTTGAAGGAAGGTAGAGAGGAAGGACCATCCCTGAAGGTCACTCTGAGCCTTAACTATGCTGTACCATCTTGTCCAATTCTGACCTTATGCACATGAGGGAAATAAGCTTCAGGGAGGTTCATTATCTTTTAGGAGATGGAGCCACTCCAAAGTCCACACCTCCCAGAGTGTAGACCTTATGATAGGAATGCTAAGGAGACAGATTCTAATTTGGAAAAGGTGAACCTTTGTGGTAAACAGAGCTGTCTAGAAATAGAGGGGTGCAGTTGGAAGAAGAGTCAAACATTACTCACAGGTTTGAGCTCCACAAGAGAGACTGGACAGAGTATCCTGAGGAACTGGTTTGAGACTAAGATTCCATCACAGATCCACAAAGAGGTTGTGCACAGGAGTCTTACCTCCAGTGGGGGCTTCAGGCAACCCTCCAAGCCTCACAGGCAGCTCCATCTCACCTCAGTTGAGCCACAGGATGGCTCCTGCTTCCAATTCTCCACCATTTTCACCCCAGCTACCATCTCAGTCCAGGGCTGATAAGCCCTGCTCTGTTCACCAATCTCTGCATATTGTAAGGGTCTCAGTAGGGCCAGTGCTCCCACACTCTAGCTCTTTCTGTTTCTTGCTCACTCTACAGGACACTGGGCAAAAAATAAAAATAAAACTCATTGCCATTGATTCCAACTCATAGCAACCCTATCAATCAGAGTAGAACTGCCCCCATAGGGTTTCTTAGGCTGTAAATCTTTACAGAAACAGATTACTTACTACATCTTTCTCTTGTGGAGCTGCTGGTGGGTTCGAACCACTGACCTTTCAGTTAGCAGTTGAGTGCTTAACCACTGTGGACTTTGGGGAAGTTAGTCAGAAATACTGTGTCGTATTCCTACTTTCTAGAAATCCCTGGACAGTGCAGACAGCTCATGCACTCACCTGCTTACTAAAAGGTTGGTAGTATGAGCCCATGCAGAGGCTCCTTGGAAGAAAGCCTCAAAGATCTGCTTCTGAAAAGTCAGCTCTTGAAAACCCTGTGGAGCACAGTTCTACTGTGACACACATGGGATTGCCGTGAGTTGGAGTATACTCGACAACTGGTTTATCCCTGCTCTCTAGCTGAGAAAACAGAGACAGCAACAGTGAAGTGACCCTGCTCCAATTGTCCCAGAGCTGAAACATTGCCTTAGTTTCTATAACTATCATAGTAGGCATATTGCCTGGCATCCCAGGGTTCCCTTCATGCCATTCCTGCCCTTGCTTCCCTGCATCCCTGAGTGATATTCTCCATCTTCATGCACAGAGCCATCCCTCAGCAGTACCCTGGGTCCCAGAAGATGGGCAGCACTAGACCCGGCCACTGTACTCAGCCACCTGCAGGTAAGACATATCCTTAGGTGAGATAATGGGACTGAATCACTTGGGCTTGCCCTCCCCTAGTGCTCACATTGAATCTTTTCCTTCCTTGCTTCCTCCCAAGGATGCCTCAGCTTCAGTGGTCCCCACACATTTGGAGCACCCAGGCTGGGCTGACAAGATCCCCAGGGATACCTCGGCTGAGCCCACACAGGACTCCACAGGGATGCTGGCCACAGAGGGTGAAGCTGGCCACTCTCAGGCACACAGCTGCCTGGACTCAGGCTCCCCACAAAAGCAACCAGGGCAGGAGAACAGCAGCTCACCAGCCAAAACTGTGGGCCGCTTCTCAGTGGTCAGCATGCAGGACGAGTTAACCCTAGCCTCATCCCATAGCCTGCGCTACTCAGCCCCGCCTGATGTATACCTGGATGCACTGCCTGCCAGTCCTGATGTGAAACTGGCAGTACGCCGTGTGCAGACAGCCTCCTCCATTGATGTTGGTGCCACCGAACTCGTATCCAGTGACTCTGGGGATGAGAGCCTACAGAGGAGGCCTTCAGTGCAGAAGCAGGTGTCCCTGCCCAGCAGCAGCAGTGCAGCCAATGACTTCGTCAAGAAGGCCACTGCCTTTCTTCATAGGTCTTCAAAAACAGGCTCACTGGGCCTGGACACACCCAGTCGACCCAGCATCAAGATCCCCACCATCAGTGTCACCTCTTTCCACTCCCAGTCATCCTACATCAGCAGTGACAATGACTCAGAGTTTGAGGATGCCGACATAAAGAAGGAGCTGCAGAGCTTGCGTGAGAAGTACGTGTACAGGCATGGCTATACCTGTGCTACAGGTGTGGTCAGAGCTGCGTGATGTTAGGGAGACTTGGTAAATAGGACTACAGGAAGCCCAGGCCAGGTCCTTTCTAATGGCACTACAGGGTGAGGGTGGCAGGGGAAGGACCCAGGCTTACTTGGGAATCCCACACCCAGAACCCCCTTGAGGCTGGCTGACAGCTCCCTGTCTTCTGCTGTTTCTTCATGGGGGGGTTGCTCCTCTCCTTACCATGCCTTCCTGCTGGATCTAGTACTTTCCTTCTCCACACTCAGCTGTAAAGTCTGAGCAGGGTCACTTGCATATTTGCCTTCATGCTTTCGTCTGGCATATCCCACCCCACTGTGGTCCAGGGGTTGGAAAGGTACAGACAACTCTGAACTTTTTTTATGAGTAGGAGGCAGGTACTGAGGTGTGGTAGGTACTGAGAGAAGAGTAAGAGAAGAGCCAGTGTCTGTCATAATGGGGTGATTGATTTGCGTGTCCTTTGAATGGGCTAAGAAATAGCAGAAATAAGTAGAAGGCACTAATTCCTACCTCCTCTTTGCTAATATGTGGCTGAAACCAAACATGCTCTGCACTCTCCAACTTGTTAGCTGCCATTGAGTTGGAGCACACTCATGATGACCTCATATGTAACAGGGTGGACTGTTGTGAGCAATAGGGTTTTCACTGGGTAATTTTTGGAAGTATATTGCCAGGTCTTTCTTCCTAGCCTATATTAGTCAAAGCTGCTGAAACTTGTTGAATATCCTGTTGTTGTTGTTATGTGCCATCAAGTCGGACCCGACTCATAGCGACCTCTCCTTGGGTTTCCGAGGTAGTATCTCTACGGAAGTAGATTGCCCAACCTTCCTTCCGAGGAGCAGCTGGTGGGTTTGAACTGCCAGCCTTCTGGTTAGCAGTCAAGTGCCTTAGGCACTATGCTACCAGAGCTCCCATTGAATATCCTAGCAACATGAAAACCTCCAGTGACAGATGGGTGGTGGTGGTGGTGGCTGTCCTTGTAGTACATTGTCCAAGAATCAAACCTGGCTGTACTACATGGAAGGTGAGAATTCTGCCACTGAATGACTCTTGCTCTGTGCTTTCCCACTACCCTTCTGTTATAGATATCTAAGAGTGCCCACCTGTCCAAGTGCTACACAAAAGCTAGAGGGGCCAAGCTGTAGACATCAGAGGTGAAACTGTAGACACCAAGGATGACAGGAGGACATGCATGACTGCTGGTCTCAGAGATGCTCAGAAGGGCCTGGTGTAGTCAGGTGGGAGGATCAGCAGGACGTTCACAATGGGCATGACTCGGAACCTCCTAGGGCTGAGGCAAGGGCTCTGTCAAGTGCTCTGAACAAAGCTTCCTTCACTCCTGCCATGACCTTCACATGGGCTTGTCTTACTGGGGAGGTGAGGCTTCCAGAGTAGGGAGTAGGACTGTAGTCCAGGAACAGGTTTGAGTGCTAGGCCATGGCCATGCTGGCTGCTGTGAGGAGATAGGAGGTAGCAGAAGAGTCTGGATGTGAGAAAATGGGTAACAGAAGCAATTGTACTCTCTGAAGAAGAGCCTGCATGGGATTGGGTTGCCAGTCTGTACACTCTAGGAGCCATAGTGTAGGGGGATCCAGAGATAGGAGAGGCTTCAAAAAGCATGTGAATAGAAGCCATAGCAGCCTGTCTGGATTCAAAAACAGGAAGAAATGGGAGGCCAGCTTAAGTGAGTTCAGGTTTTCTCCTGTAGTTTTAGAACAGCCATGGAACCCATTAAAGGGCAACAACTGAGAAGAGATTGGGGTAAGATTTTGAACCTAAATTGAGGGGACTTGGTTACATCCAGTACTGGTTCTCAGACCTTAGGACACATCCGAAGACCCTGAAGACTTTTCAAACACAAGTTACCAGGCCCTACCCTAGAGCTGCTGCTTCAGGAGGAGGGTGGGACTTGATCTCCTGCCAAGCTCCCAGGAGCCTGGCACTTGGCCCAGATCCCTGCTTTGAGAAGCACCACTGCAGACTACTAGATACTGCCCTGAGAGCAGGCAAGGACCCAGCTCAGAACAAGCAAGGGAGGAGCCCCTGGGTAGAAGTCACTTTGCAGTCAGGCTCTGTAACATTGTTGCCAAGGGAGGGTGGAAGGAAGGAAACAGCAACTAGGCTGGATTTTGGAGACCACATACTTTAAAGTAGAGATCTTCCTTGAGGTTGTTCTGAATCAATGCTCCTTCCCTGTGATGATCCAGTATCCCTATGTGTCCACCAGCTCACACTCTTGGAATACCACACCTCTTTTCAAAAGTTAATTGGATGCAACAATACTTTGCTGTTTTCTCTTGGCATTTACAGAGAGAAAACCACTCAGATTTTTTTTTTTTAATAGCTACAGAAAAGTAATTTTTGTAAAACAAGTATGGCAGATGCTAAAGGTAAAATCAGAGCTTTCTTCTTCATGCTTAACCATGCAAACACCTGATCCTAACCTTAAAGGAGGAAGTGTTGAACTTGTATAAATAATGCTAAAGAGGTACAGACCTTAGGCTGGGAGCTTTGTGGCCATTTGATCTCATCCGCCCATGCAGCCCTTCTCTCTCATTCTTAGCCACCTGAGCTTAGGTCAGACACCTGTCACACTCCCTGTACTTTAGACCTAGCTCCATCTACTCCCTTTAGGTCTGATATTTCACTGGAATGACTTACAGAGTTCACTGGAAACACCATACCTGCAACAACAGTTTTAGTGTAATAACTGAAGATATACATAGGGCAAGGTCCAGGAGAAGTCCCAGCTTAGAGCCTCAGCATCTCATGAGGACATACTTACCTTCCCAAGAACCAAGATCCCTCTCACCATCCAGGAATCTTTTCAACCAAGGAATGCTCAATGACAGTTCTCTGGAGGAAAATGCCCCCTGCTGGTACAGCTCTTAAACAGTTTTTCTCACAGCCAGAACAACTTTGTTTTATTCTTCTCTCCCCTAAGCTCTTCATCAGTATAACTCTCAGTTCTGCTGTTTCTGTACAGCTCTGCTCTCTACTGCACAGTTCTTAACCAGATCTGGGAGGGTTTCCAGCTCACCAGACTTCGTGTCCAAAGGCTGCTGCATCCCTCCTAATTAACTCATTTTTTTGGAAGTCCCCTCTGAGCCTCTGTGTTTTAGGACTTTTATAAGCCAGTCCTCTGGCTCCTTTGTCATTATTACAAACATTCTGTCAATTACCTACCTGGGCCTTTTGCCAAACTTGGAAAAAGTAAATCCTCAGGGACAGGCAACAATTTCTAAAATACCCTAAGGTCACTTTCCAGAAACCAAGGGCAAAGGCTGTACAAGGAATTTCATGGCACCACGGGTGTGTGTCTGGCTCTACAAAAGCCAAGTAGGAGATTCCCCAACTCCTACCTGTGTTAATGTTTAGAGCTTTTACTTCAAGCATGAAGTCATCCATTCTTCCCCCATTAAAAAACAGTGGCAGTGGCACAGTTTTGCATATGTGAACATCAGGGGCTACTCAGACTCTGCTTCACCCATTCAGTGTCCTGAGGCAAGTGGATGTGGAGGCCCATGTGGTGCCTGTTTGGTTTCAGTGTACTGGAAACTGCCCTCTTATGGCACACATTAAGACATGGTTAGACCCACAGCTAGCCCGTTCTCCCAGTCCTTCCCCCTGTCTTCTGCTGGTTTTCATGGAAGGCACATGGATGTCTGAGATGGCTGGGAAAACCTGCTTGCCTCCCTCTCTGACCCTCCTCTCTCCTTTAGACACTTGAAGGAAATCTCAGAGCTACAGACCCAGCAAAAGCAGGAGATTGAGGCCCTGTACCACCGCCTAGGCAAACCACTGCCCCCCAACGTAGGCTTCTTCCACACAGCACCGCCCACTGGCCGCCGGAGGAAAACCAGCAAGAGCAAACTGAAAGCCGGGAAACTACTCAACCCCCTGGTACAGCAGCTCAAAGTCGTGGCGTCCAGCACAGGTTGGCAGGGGCTCCTCCTGACTGGCCTGGTGGGCAGGGCTGAATGATAATGTTGCCTGGGAGGTGGGTTGAGGGGCCCCAGTGAGCCTGGGAGATTAGGCTCAGTGAGGCTTTGATATCTTCCAGGCCTTGGGAGAGGGTCTGGAGTTTCTTCTTCGTAAGTCTCCTTTACTTGGAGCTGGGGAAGACATTGCAGGCCAAGTGAATCCTGGGCCAAGTGTCCTCTGTGTGAAGAGGGATGACTATAAGGGATAGGGGTGGGAGCCCCTCAGGCTGGCAATTTAATCTCAGGCATGGTTTCTGCAGAGCTGGGTGGGGGTGGTCAGGGGCTCCCTGCTGCTCATCAATGTGGGGCACTGTGGAGAACAGGTCTGTTCCTCTGCTCCCATTTCTAATCTTCTTAGCTGGCCTGTGTCTGTAGGCATCGAAGATAAGTGGGAGGAGTATGAATGAGGACCATCAGCTCTGTGAGTGATGCTATCCTATTAGTAAGTGTGCTGGCCTGGCCTCCAAACTGCAAGAGCCCAATAACTTGCATTTTAGGGGTCCTGCAAGCTCTTTATGCTGTTCCTGCTCTGCCAGCCACAGCTCCAGAGCTCTGTGGTGAGACTCAGGCCCAGGAACCAAAGCCCATGTTGCAGTTAGCAGTGTTGTTGACGTATACTGAGCCCTTCTCTTGGTGTTGCTGGAAGCCTGTGGGCCACACTCACAAGGACGCATGAGTGACATGACCTCAGTGCCAGTGTCAATTCTGGAGTTAATGAGGGTGTCAAAAGGAGGTGATGCATAGACCCACTTTGCACCAAGGTATGCACTTGAGCAAATCACAGAGTAAGAATCTCTGGCCTTGGATTTATGACTGGTGGAGACTGTGGTCACTTGTCTAACCTTCCCAACACTCCAGTATGGGGACTATAGCTGTGTGTCCATTGCATACAGGGGACTTGGGCCCATGGGCAAAAGAGCTTCCCCTAGGTCACCCAGCAAATAACAGGGAGACAAAGATGAGCACTGCACTGGCGCTTCTGCCAGCAGTGCCTCATCGTACCTGTCACCCTCTCTCCTCGCCCAGGTCACTTATCAGACTGCAGCAGAGGCCCTCCTGCTAAGGACCCCACCCAAGGGGGAGCAGGGCCTGCTGCAGAAAGCCCAGCGGCACCCCCGGCTCCAGACCCATGTGGCAAGGCAGTCCACACTCAGCAGCCCTGCTCTGTGAGAGCCTCCCTGTCTTCTGACTTCTGCTCCGGCTTAGCCAGTGATGGAGGCGGAGCGCATGGCCAAGGTGATTCCCAGCTTTCCACTCTCAAGCATGTGCTAGCCCAGGGCTTCAGTGGTGTCCCCAGGAGCAAGCCAATATGTATAGAAGGATGGAGCTGCAGTAGGTCTGCTGAGCAGCTACTTAAAAAATATTAGTCTCTGAATACACAGAATGGAATTGCCCAGCCATCACCCAGTCTTGCTTCGAGTGGCTCCACAGGAGGTCATGCTTGGCTAGCATGAGCCTAGGGGAGCCACCAGGATGGTGAAGTGTAGCCAAATGACCAGGAGAGGAGTCAGCCAGGGGAGTCAGGCGAGGCACCTCTCTCCATTTTGCTACGGTGGTTCCTAGTCACTGGCTCACCTGCCCTGCCCATTCCCAGTGCAGTGCTTAAACACCTGGGCCTTGTGCTCAGGAAGTTGGCTCAGAGGGCCAGGCTCTTGGGTGGGAGATTGACCTTGAGATGGAAATGCTTTCTCTCCAGCACTGCCATGGATGATAGCAGCTGCTTGATAAAGCACTCACCCACTCTCTTCACCACCTCTATCAAAAGAAACCTTGGTGATTCTGATGCAGCTTCCACTCCCCTCACCTCTTAAGAGCTCACTTCTCTTTTGCTCCTACCGTTGCCTCCTTTCCATTACGTGGTCAGTGGCTTTGGTCCTTTGGGCTGGGCTAGGTGCAGCCATGGATGTTAAGTAACAAAGCTGATGTGACTGGTGGTATGGTAGGACGTAGGGTCGCAGTGACTTGTACTTGATAAGTGTCTCTTTGTTTTTTCCCTTTATATTCATTTGCAGGCTGGACGGTTTCCCACCAAACGTCTGAGAGAGTGGCCTATAAATCTAGTAGCAAACCTCGTGCCCGATTCCTCAGTGGACCTGTGTCTTTGTCCATCTGTCTGTATTTGTTCTTTTGTATTTTATCACCTCCTGGCCCTTGGTTTCTTTCTCTTTTCTGTCTCCATTGGTACCTGTGATAACATTTGGCAGGTGCCTTCCCCTTCCTCCCCCCATTGAGCTCACCCATCACTATCAAATGGAACAGCCCCAAGCCTCTTCCTTTGGATGACGGCATCCTTTCTGCCCTCAGAAGTCTCGTGCACATGCTTTTGCTCGTGCCTGGGTGCCAAAGCATGTGCAGACACCTGCCTCTTGGCAGAGGCACCCCATCTCTCAGACATACCAAGGCCCTCTGTATTTTGTCACTCATTTATTTAATTTTTTTTATGTTGGACGTAATTTTTTCTGTTGCGATTGTGGCAAATATACATGTCCGCTGTCCCCAGTTCCAGCGACAACAAAAAGACAACCCCAACCGTCTCTAGACGCATGGTGTTTTTCACACATGTTTGGACTATGAAGACATGCATGTAGCAAGCCGATACAATTCTAGAAGGTCACTGGAGGGTATAACTTCTGTACCAGGGCTGTATTACAACAACCTACAGTATTGTTTCTCCTTATTGCCCCACTCCCTGCATGTGGGAATGCTGAGAGGATGGTGCTCCAGCTAGGATGCTCCACATCTACTTTCCCCTCACAGGGGATCTGACCACCCACTTACCTTCTTGGTTGCCTTCTGCTTTTCTCAACCCTAAAAGATGTGATTGACAACCCAGACACATGGCTCTTCCTCCAGAAGTGTGCCGGCCCTCCTCCAGTCCCCCACGTATTCTAGCTGGAGCACTTCACTCGGTGTATTTTCCTGTGACCTCAGAGATGAAGTCAATTAAGCAGTTCCTCAGATCTCTTCTAAACCCAATTCCCATCTTCTGCAGATACTGTGGAACATCACAGTTATTCCATGTTAAGAATGTTGCCCGTATGTGGGGCCATTCCCAACTGTGTAGTTCATTTTCAACCCTCAGAGTGATTGGCAAATGAATCCAAAGTTACAGAATGTTAAGGTTTTTGTTTTTTAACAGAAAAATTAAGCTTTTTAACAATCGGATGGACATGCTGGTTTGGGGCACATGGCTTTTTGCTTGTACAATAAAGATACATTGTCCTTGTGGGGACCCAGAGGCCACGTCCACAGTAGATACCCATGAGTGAAGTGTGCATTCACATCTGCCTGGTCACCCCATCTGAGTCCACATGGCTCATCATCCTCCGGGACAGACAGATCAAAGGCACGCGGACCACTTAGAAATGCTTTAAGAAGCCCCAGCATTTTCACTTTTAGACAAATGACTTTTTATCTACGGAGTAGGGTGCCCCGTGTTGGCAGTTGGTTGGTGGCTTAGCTGAGTTGTGGGAGGGAACAGAGAGCCTTTTGAGTACAGTGTTCTCTGGAAGCTTCCTCCTCTATAGTCTCAGCCCAGCTCACCTGCTTGCCAACTGACATTTGTGTTCCCCACCCATTGGCTGCAGGTGGTCACAGGCCTCATGGGCTCCAGGGCTTCCAGGGTCTCCAGAACAGATGGTGCCTACCTTCACTGCTTGGTAGCTCCTATACCTCAGTAGAAGCAGAGCAGGGCACACAGTGGTTTTTCTGGGAACTCTGGGTAAAATCACCAGCAGGGATAGTGTGATGCACTGCTGAGATTGTCGTAATGCCACCTTTCCACTCACATTGTTTTAAAGGGTTTTCATTTGTTTACCATTCGTTATCATCGAGACTTTGTTTTTCTCTTTTTTAAATTGAAGCATCCATGGACAAAGGACTCACTGCTGTCCCTGTGGATAGGAAGAAAGAAAAGGGGAAAGCAAGGTTTAGGAGCACCCAGCAGGTGTGGTCCCAGTCAGTGAAAGATGGTGGGCTTTCAGCTCTGCAGCCTTACTGGATTGGCAGGCAGTCTTCAGGCCTTGTTCAAGTGCTCAAATGTTGTAGAGTTGATGGTATTTCTGGTTTTCACAGCCCAGCCTCTTCTTAGCAAGCCTTGGTTGAGTTGATATTCTTTGGCAGGTGGTGTTTCTGCCCTGGGCACCTCTTGCCTTCAGTCTTGTGGACTTAGAGAGTTTGTGCACACTTGGCTGACAGGCATAGGGCCTCCTGACCAAACTCTGCTGCTGCATTGGGAAGTGGCCAGGACCCCCGCTTGTTCCAAGAACTGAGTCCTTGACAGTGCCATGGTTCCAGGTTCTCTGGACTGGGGAAGTTGGGAAATTTTCATTGTGCCACTCTATGCTGGCTTCTGTACAAACGCTGGCAAGGGCAGGGCCTAAAGAGAAGAGGCACCACGGGCCTGCCTCAGAACTTTACATCTATGAGAATACTGAGCATGAATGTCAAAACTCGGAGCTGCCAGCTCCAGAGAAGTGGTAGCTTCATGAGAGCTTGAGAGCCAGGGAGACTTGGCAAAGGAGACAGGTGTACACTAGGTCTCAGGGGTGAATTGGATTTAAAGAGGTGAAAGGGAGATGGGGGCAGGGCAGAAAGAACAGAGACTGGGCATTGTAGTAGTGGGAGTGCATGAGTCGAAGGTCTTGGCTACAGGCAAGGAAGCCAGCTTTCTGCACCTGGCCGATTTATAAGGACTACATAACATTTTCAGTTTAATTGCCTTGTTGTGTGACACTCCCGCTTCCTGGAAGAGACACTGTAAAACAAAATTTTTTCAACTCTGAAGTTCAGAAATATCATGGCTCCATGAAGCACAGAGGTGAAACAACCTGGATAAGGCTACGTCTGAGAAAGCTGGGGTTGCCAGGGATCTCAGTACCCAGTGTGAAGCTGCATTAGAGCAGCAGATGGTTCTGGATGGCCTGGGAACTACCTCTCTGTGGTAGAGGCCCCAGGAGCCAGGCTAAACCCTTGTCAGGAGGAAGTACTACAGATAGCAAAGCCACTTAATCTGTCCAGGTGGGCCTGGAGGGCAGTCACAGTGTGGCCTGGAAGATTGTGATCAGCAGGTGGGACAGGCCCTGGGAAAGACACAGACCTCAGCCAGCCACAGCAGCCTGGCAACCTGCTCCTCTTTGCCCTTAGCCTCATGTCACATGGGCTACACGACCATGACGCTGATCATATAAGTCCCCTCTACAGTGGTTAGAAGAGGTGGGGAAAGCCTGGGACTGTCATGAGGTCATGAAGATCTAGGAAGAAGTGACATAAAAGAAGCAAGATGGAGTCCTGGGTTGTTATATGCTGGTCAGAAGCTTTCGGTACCCTGTTGTTTTAGTTCCTCATTTACCCAGAGGCTGATACTGATGTGCTTCCAGTCCTTGCTCATGTGCAGGAAGCATTTAATGTCAGTCTGCATTTACTTCACATATCTGTCAGCAGCTTTCATAGCCACCACCCATCAGTGGAGGATTTTCTGTTGCTAGGATGCTGAACAGGTTCAACAGAGCTTCCAGACTAACATAGAAAGGCCTGGTGATCTACTTCCAAATACCAGTTGGTGAAAACTGTTTGGATCACAATGGTCTGATCTGCAGTTGATTGTGGGGATGGTGCAAGGCTGGGCATGTTTTATTCTGTAGGTATGTGTCTTGAATCCCATGAGTCGTGTGGTAGCTTGACCTGGGGCTGATGATAAACTTCTGCAAGTCATACCTGGATGAGCCAAGTCAAGCCCTATTTCCACTTCATTCTTTATATGCAGTGTTTGGTACTCCTCTGAGAACTAGGTTGCTCAATCTTAGAGGCACTAAGTGGTGCTTTGGCATCACCCATTTTTCTCCAGTACTAGAAACAAGCATCCACTGCCAACCCCAGTGTGAAACTGAGTCTCTGTTGTCATGGAGATGGACAAGATTGGCTTGAGCTCAGGGGCCAGCCAGTTCTTTGAGGAGGGCAGTGCCCTGAGCTACTCCTTCTGGGAATGAGCTGGCTATGCTGTTTCTTGGGTAGCTATTCCCCTACTGTTCAGTGTGAACTCAGTCAGTATCTGAACACTGCAATACAGAAAATGAAACTGAATTGTTCAGGCCTGACCCACTTTCTAAGCAATCTGTCCTAGTCAGATGCACCCATGCTTTGAAGAACTCATGCTTGTGGTGTTCTCTGCATTCACTCCTGAAGATTGGGTCATAGTGTTCAGCCAGAGGAAGGGCAGGGCTGTCTGCCAACACCAAGAGGAAGGCTCTGTGTTTATGTCCATCCAGGTGGTACTACTCTCAGGGACAAGTGGAGGGCAAAGTAAAGCAGGGCTCCACCTTCCTCGAGTGTGGCTTGAGACCCAGATGGATTGTGGGCTTCCCATGCAGCTGGCAGCCAGAAGCAGGACCTCCTCAAGCCTGCTTGGTGGGTGGATCTCCAGACAGCTGCTGGACAAGATATGAAGAAGCTTGTCCCAGAAATGGTACCACCAATCACCTCTGGGAGAGACAGGGAAAACTTAGCTTATCTCCAGAAAGCTGAAGAAAACCTCCATCTCCTGCCTTACAGCCTGAGCCCTCAGGGAAAGCTTGGCTGAAGTGGCTTTTGGTCATGGAGGGCTTTGGCTCAATGCAGCAAGAAGCCCCACAGGGAGAATCTTCGTTTTCCCGTGGAACCCAGGAGTCTACAATATTGGTTGAAACTGTCATGCCTCATGTTGGTTTGGCTCGTTTTTAACTTCTGTCTTGTGGGCTGTGGCATTCTGTTGCAGATGCCTGTGGGGATGCTAAAAGGAAGGAGGTGAGCCTGGCAGGGGGGCCTTTCAACTAGAGCTCTGGCAAGAAGTGGGAAATGCTCAGGACAGGGCTCAGACAGTACAGCACAGTTGGGGGCAATCTAAGGGGCCTCCTAGAGATAGATAGGACTCTGCATATGGCGAGACCCCTGGCCCCAGGCATGTGGTGGCCACTTGATTGAGGATTGGCCCTAACCTCAGCAGGAAGATGCCAGTGCCCATCTCAGTTTGAGTATATAGAGCCGCATACTGGTTGCAGCCATTGCCACCTGTGTCCATGTTTATTCGAGGGCCTGTGCATGGGAAAAGGCATGGCTACCTCTGCCACAGTTAGCACAGTGTCTGGTTGGGCCCCTTAACCCACCCCAGCATGATGAGTACGAATCTTAGCCTTGCTCATGGACCACAGGGCTTCCTGTGGTGGATCCAGGTGGGCACCTGGCCCATGGCAGGACCTGATCCCACTTTCTCAGCAATCTGTCCTAGTCAGATGCACCCAGTTTGAAGAACTCATGCTTGTGGTGTTAATGTGATGGACGTTTGTGCTGGATACAGAGTATCTGGTCCTACCAGGCAGTCAGGCTCCATGGCCCAGCATAGGGAGCAGTCACACAGTCTTTAAGATTGTCAGTATAGGACTGTCACAGCCTAGAAGAGACACAGCACCACAAGAAGTCAGGCAGGAAGTGGGCAATCAGCCCTGTGCCTCAGCACGTCTGGTACAAGTGGGTGTGTAGTCTCAGCCCATAGGGCAAACCACAGCTTCACGTTCATACTGCAGCCAGCCATAAAGGAATCACCTTCATTCCTAGTAAGGTCTCATCTCACACAGACTAGCAAAGCCATAGACACCCACCACTTCTAACTATCATCCACATACCTGACTATCTCCTGCCTGGTCCTATGCATTTATTGGTATCTGAGAAACTCAGTTTCTCCTGAATGAGCCTCAAAGGACTTAAAAGAACGAACTTTAAAAAAAAAAAAAAACTACATTTAAAATTAAAAATCAAAAGTTCAGTAAGCACAACTCTCTCCTGTGCTCAGAAGTTTCCCATAGAACCTGGTCTGACAGTTTGTCCCACAGTCCCCAAATGATAAGAAGAAAGAAGCCTTCTATATGAGGAAGGTGAATGCTACCAGTTGTCCTAAGTTCCTAGAACTTCAAAAAACTCCCTTTCTACTCTCAGACCTTTCCCATCCATACTGAAGAAGACATGAAGGGAAGGGCTCTGGTGCTGTGGGATTCTGTCCTTGGGAGACCCCCCCCCCCATTGAAGGAGTCTGTAGTGGGCATTCACATATGGGAGGTACCCTCAGAAAGCTCCCCCAGTCTGAGGGAGTGTGTAGGGGGGCATTCAAAGCATGGGGTTCTGTTCATGGGAAGCCCCTCCATCTGACAGAGTGTGGATTGAATGGACATTTGCAGTATGAGGTTCTGCCCATCTGAAGGAATGTAGAATGGAGTGGGCATTCACAGTGTGACTTTTTCTCGAGAAGCTCCTTCATCTGAAGAGGGGGCATTCACAGCATGGGGTTCTCTGAGGGAGTTTAGGGTGGGGTTCACAGTGTGGGGTTCTGTCCTCAGGAAGCCCATCCACCTGAGGGAGTAGGGGGTGGGATAAGTGTTCGTGGTATGAGGTTTTGTCCTGCAGAAGTCACCTGACTGAGTATAGAGTGGACATTCATGAATGTTGTGATAAGCTTTTGCCAGGAGTATAGAGCAGGTTATCAGCATTAGCAGGCCTTGCTGGGTGACCTTGGGGAAAGTCCAAGCCTATCTTCTGCCATGTCCACTTGCTCCCCTACTCCAGGCACACTGTATATCTAAGACAATATTGGCACTGGCCATTAACATCTTGCCAAAAGTTTAAATCCCTTATATTCACTATAGCTGACTACCTTGACGAGTTAGATAGCCATCAGCTGTCTTAGTGTGGTCCAAGTAATAGGAGGTGGAATGTTCCCAGTGACTGGCTCACCCTAGAAAGGGCCTAAGGACCACCTAACAGGGGGCTTACACTTGAGATAAGGAACATTCACATTTCCCAACTTGGTAACATCCCTGACTTGATTTAAGTCAGTCCTCCAAGATACTGGACTGGCCTCTACCCTGCAAAACAATGTATCGTTTTGGGCTTGGCCAACTATGGCATGAGGCTCTGCAGCCAGGCAGTGCCTGCACCTAATCCACCGGAGGCCCCTCTCAGGGACCATCAGTGGTTTTTCTTGCCTCAACCAGTGGGGCTCTTAATAGCCTTCTGTCTGAAAAAAGTCAAGCATTATTCTCTGCCTTTTTTTTTTTTTTTTAACGCTTCTAGAGACTAACACTTCAACTTGAAGCTTGGGAAGCTTGAACTTGGCATCTACCCCTCCTCAATAAAGCTTGTGTTAACTGCACACTAACAGGCTTTGGGCTGCCCGGTCCATTCAGGTTGGGGGTGGGGGGAGGGTTTCCTCTTCTCTCTGAACTGCTGATTTTCTGTCTGTTCTTCTTTGCATAAGGATTACTTTTGCTTAAAGTATGGTAGCTTGCCCTGCAAGTATGGACTGCTCACATAACAGTGTTGTCTTGTATCATTTTTTCTTTCCTTGCAGGGTCAGCCTTGAAACGTCTCTGCCTAGGGAAAGAACACAGCAGTAGTAACTATCTGGGTTTCTTATCCCTTTTGCATTCTATCCATTGCATGGGCTTTATGTGGCTAAAGCACAGTAGGGCTCCCACTAGCCAGGGAGCATGAGTGCAGGGCTGGCCAGCGCAGTGACTGCTCCTGGCCACCCACAACCATTTGCTTGCTTCACTTCTATCTGCAGAGCAACTGCCCTGGTGCTCCCTATATCCCAGTGCACCCCCGTGGCTCCTACAATCTACAGTCTCCTCATTTCACACTTGCCAGGCTTAAGCCTGCTTTCAGAACATCCACAGATTCCCAATCATTAATTGCTCCATTTTCAAAATCGTAAGAATGCATATTTCCTTGAAGTGCTAAAGCTTGAGTGCCTATTCAAGAGGAGAGCTGCCCCAAGTTGAATGGGTCCCTCACTTCTCTCTCTTGCTCTGTCTGTCACTTTTTTTATTTTTTGTCTTTTCTGGCTGAAATTTCCATGTAGAAATAACTCCATGTATGTAAGATCTCATCACTGATTTTTAATTTATACCTTTTTAATTTATGTCTATTCCTATGCTTTTTCATTGCTCTCCACTAAAGTAGATTACATTTCTAAACAGTTTGTTTGAAGAGATGGTCATTAGGTTATTTTTTTTAATGTAGAAAGTTCAAATTTTGGCTTATTCAAAATTGCAACTAAATATTATGTGTGGGGTGAGGAGTTTTTAAATGTTTTGATACATTAAAAAAATCTTGCAATGAAATCAGATATGCTGGCAGCACTGCTGTCCAGCACGTAGCGTGGCCTCCCAGTCTTCAGGGTAGCCCAGTTCTGTTCCTTCCTGCTCACCTGTGGTAGCTCCAGCAGTGCTGCAGAACTTATGTAGTCTTAGCAAAAAGGCTCCAGTCACTGGTACTTGATAAATACATTCCCCAGAAGTCCCAATCAGTAAAGAGGTTGAATTCTAAATAACCAAGTATTTAAAATACATGGAGTGCCCTGAAATAATCTTTAAACCTTGAACCAAGATAAACCCTGAAGTTTTCTTAAAACCAAACAGTAGTCTAGCTTAATTAGTAAAAATAGTTTACCTTGAGCACTGTGCTCTTTTAAGTACTATCTGTCTTTGAGCAAACTGACAACAGCAAGTCAAAAGATTAGATAGAAACCTTAGGGAGCAGTAAGTTTATGTTCATGGCAGAGCAACAACTCAGAAAAAGAGGATAGAAATGATTGCACAGTTCAAAGAATATAATAAATGTCATGTAGAATCCGTTGACTTGATGTATGTTTTGATGTGTATATTCTCAACAACAACAAAATAAATTTTTTTTAAAAATTTATGTAATGCAGCTAGTCCAGCCTATGGCACACATTTTCCCTTAGACCAGGGGCTGGTTTGTACAGAGTATTCTTACATCTCTGCACGCAAGTATTACCCCATCTTATAGCTGAGGGTGCAGACACTAAGAGATCCTGAATCATTTGGCTCCATCTGCTGTAACTCCCAATCAGACATATGCCCTGCTATACGCAAGGGATCCAGTAGTGGGCACCGACAGAGTGGACGCTGGCTGGGTGTAGGCTGCAGCTATGGCAGGGACAAGCCACACTGCTCACCCTTCTCCAGGCAGGAACTCCCCAGTGCTGCTGGTAGGTGGGTTAAGGTTGGTTGGCCACCCACAGCAGTACCGTGTCTAAACCTGGGTGTCAGCCCTCAATCCAGACCACCTCTTGAAGCAAGGTGTTGCCTGACTCACCTAAGTGAGACCATTGTTTCTGCCATCACTTAAGAATGATGGGAGCTGGCCAGATGGCATAGGCGCATGTACAGTATAACCAACCCTAGCTTGTGTGTGATTCCCTAGGGTCTTCTACAAGCAGCCTGGTCCCGGGCCCTGAGCCAGGTCCTCAGCCCACCCTGCAAATTCAGGCACAGGTGAACAACAGCAACAACAAGAAAGGCACCTTCACAGATGACCTGCACAAGCTAGTAGATGAGTGGGCCAGCAAGACTGTGGGTGCTACACAGCTAAAACCATCACTGAACCAGCTGAAACAGACTCAGAAGCTGCAGGACATGGAAGCCAAGATGGGCCTGGCCCCGGCAGCCAATGAGGCACAGACTGTAAGTGAGGACAAGGGAAGGGAGTGTTCACAGCACCGTTAGTAACAAGCAGCAGTAGCGTATATTCTTAGTCTACCATGTGCAGGCATGTGCTTAGTTCTTACCTTTCATTTTCCAAACTCCTCTTCATGGAAGCCACATGATTTGGGTTTTCCCATTTTACAGATAGGGAATATTAAGTGATTTGCTTGCATTCCCACAGGAGCCAGATCAGAGGGCAGGGAGTAAACCCACATTTTTGGCCAAACCAGCACCTCCCAGCAGCAGCTTTCCGGAACAGCAGGAGCCTGAGGCAGCCCAGAGCTGGGGTACAGCCTCAGCTTATCTGACCTACCTTCAAGGTCCACCATACCTTTTGTCTGACTGAAAGTTTCCAGCTCTTCCCAGTAATGACCCAGCATTGTGTGGGCTTCAGCTCTAGTGTCTGGGACAACATGGGACAAGTGCTGAACTAATTACTGTCTTTATTGCTGCCTTTACAGTTTTTATATTCATATTCATGAATGAGAGTGGCCTATACGTTCCTTTCTCTTAATGTCCTTAGATTCTGTATTGCAGTGGGGTTTATGTCAGGGCCATACTAACTTCAAAACCTAGGTGGTGGGCTAATCCCTCTTTTTCAGTTTTCTGGAGAAGTTTGTGCAATTCTGTTTTTTTTTTTTTTTCCTTCCTTAAATGTTTAGTGAAATTTATTGGTGAAACCACCTGGGCTGGGAAGTGTTTTTTTGTTTGTTTGTTTGTTTGAAGTGTGAGAAGTTACCCCCTACAACCTTTTAGTTTGAAAAATTTCAAACAGAAAAGTTGAAAATCCATATACCCTCTACATTCTGTAATTAAGGTTTTGCTATGTTTGTCTTATCTCACATCCTTATCCCTTAAAGAGAACATTTTCATTATGGATTCAATTTCTTTTATAGTTTCAGTACCATTAGATTTTCTGTTTCTTCTTACAACAGTTTTGTTATATTCTGCTTTTCTAGCAACTCTTCCATTTCCTTTAAATGTATGTGTATTGTCTAAGTAATTGCCATAAAGTTGTTCATAATAGCATCTTGCTTTGCCAGAATGTCCTTTTCTTCCTGATACTTATGATTTATGCCTTCTCTCTATGTATATTATTTCTAAACAGTCTCTTTACTGGTTCTAAATTTTATTAGCTGTCTCCAATAACTCCTTTTGACTTTGGTAATATTCTTTATTGTATGTTTGATTAATTTCTATTATTTCTTTCCTTCTTTGTTTGGGTTAATTTTATTGGTCTAGAAGGTTTCTTGAGATATATAGTTCTTAACTTCCAGCCTTACTTCTTTAGGCTATAAAATTACTTCTAAAAGTCTTAGCTGCATCCCAAAAATTTTGATATGTGGCATTTTCATTAACATTCAGTTCACTAAAATTCAGTTCATGATTTTCACTGTGATTTACTCTTTATAGTAACTATAGTTATTGATTTTCTGATCTGCTTGTTAGTGATTTTTAGCTTAATTTCACTGTAGTAAGATAAACTTTGTATGATTTCATACAAATTTCCTTTGAAATTTCTTGGGAGTTGCTTTATTGCCCCATCAATCTCTGTACTTGTAAGCTTGAAATGGATCTATTTCTTTCCATCTCCACTTGCATTCTCCCCATCTAAATTACCCTTATTTCTATTCTGAACTGCTACAGAACTCTCCTAGCAGGTACACTTATATCAGTCTGACTCTTCTCAAATCCATTAATCAATGAATTCCCATCATTCCTGGGAAAACGTATTAATCATTATGGCCTGCAAGGCCCTGTGTGGTCTATACCCTGACTACCTATCTAGGCTTATCACTCCTTTGCTCTCTGGGTCCCAGCCATATGGGCCTTCTTTAAGCACTCTGCCATGTGCATTAGGTCAGCTTTGCTAGTCTTGTTGTTCAGAACTTCTTTATCACTGATGATTTTTTATGTGTTTGTGCATGTTTTATCAGTTACTGAAAGAGGAACATTAAAATTTCCCACTATGGTTGTACATCTGTATAAAAATTATATAAATTTTTGCTTTATATATTTTGAGGCTGTGTTACTTTCATTCAGATGTAGGTTTATGATGTCTTCCTCATAAGTTGAAATTTCAGTGTTATGAAGTGCCATTTTTCAGTATGCCTTTTGCCTTAAAATCTGCTTTGTCTGAAATTGCTATATCTCCACCTGCTTGTGTTTTTATGGCTTTATGTTTTACTGTTTTTATGGTGTATGCTTTCCATCCTTTATTCCAATTTTTCTGTATCATATGCTTTAGATGTATCTCTTATAAACAGCATATATACATACATGGGCTTTGTTTTATTATTTAATCCTGTTTGAAAATTTTTGTCTTTTAATTAAAGTATTGGTCTGTATACATTTAATGTAAGTGTTTATATATTTTTGTTTAAATCCACTGTCTTACCATATACTTTCTATCTGTCCTGTTTGTTGTTCCCTTTTCTCTTCTTTCTTTCTTTTTTTTTAGTTCTCTTTTATTACTATTACTATTACTACTACTACTATTATTATTATTATTATTATTATTGCAGTGTTCCCTTCCCTTCCCTCCCAGCCCTAGTAACCAACACAGAAAGTTTCCTTCCATATATAAACCTTTCCTTGACTTTCTATAATAATAAGCTAATATAATATTTGTCCTTCTGTGATTGACTTATTTCACTCAGCATAATATCCTCCAAGTTCATCCATGTTATGCAGTGTTTTTCAGGTTCTACATTTATTCTTTAGTGTTGTAAAGTATTCACCATTGTGTGTGTATACCATCATTTGGTTATCCATTCTTCTGTTGATGGGCACGTTTTGTTGATGACACATTCTGTTGATGTTGTTTCCATCTTTTTACTATTATAAATAGTGCTGCAATGAATATGGGTGTGCATATATCTGTTCTTGTCCTAGCTCTCACTTCTTTAGGATATATACCTAGTAATGGGATTGCTGGATCAAATGGTATTTCTAATTCCAACTTTTTAAGGAATCGCCATACTGCTTTCCACAGTGGTTGTATCATTTGACCATCCCAGCAGCAGTGTATTAGAGTCCCAATCTCTCCACATCTTCACCAGCATTTGTTATTTTCTGTATTGTTGAACTTTGCTATTAGTGCTGGGGTGAGATGGTAACTCATGGTTGTTTTGATTTGCATCCCTCTAATGGCTTATGATCATGAACATTTCTTTATGTGTGTGTTGGCCGCCTGAATATCCTCTTTGGTGAAGAGTCTATTCATGTCTTCTGCCCATTTTTTAATTGGATCATTTGTCTTTTTGTTGTTGAGGTGTTGGAGTTTTCTATGAATTTTAGAAATAAGTCCCTTGTCAGATATGTCATTGCCAAATATTTTTTCCCAATCTGTAGGTTCTCTTGTCACTCTTTGATCCATCTGGAGTTAGTTTATGTGTATGGTGTGAGGTATAGATCTTGTTTCATTTTTCTGCAAATGGATATCCAGTTTTGGTAGCAACATTTGTTAAAGAGACCATCTCTTCCCATTTAATGCATTTCAGCCCTTTGTCAAAAATCAGCTGACCATAGGTTGATGGATCTATTTCTGTGTTTTCAGTTCTGTTCCACTGGTCTGTGTGTCTGTCGTTATACCAATACCAGGTTGTTTTGACTACTGTAATTCTCTTCTTTCTTACCTTGTTTTGAATAGATAGTTGTTGTTGTTATGTGCCATCGAGTTGGCCCTGACTCATAACAACCCCTCCTTGTGTTTCTGAGGCAGTATCACTACGGAAGTAGATTGCCCAACCTTCCTTCTGAGGAGTGGCTGGTGGATTTGAACCACCAGCCTTCTGGTTAGCAGTCAAGTGCCTTAGGCACTATGCTACCAGAGCTCCTTTAAATAGATTAGGTGTGTTTTATTATTTAATTTTCCTCCCACAGTTAACTTGGAAGCTTTATTTTCCCTCATTGTTTATTTAGTGATTATCCTAAATATTATAGCTCTGGTGGCGTAGTGCCTATGGCATTTGACTGTAACCAGAAGGTTAGTGGCTCAAACCTACCAGCCACTCCACAGAAAGAAGACTGGGCAATCTACTTCCATAAAGATTTACCACCTTGGAAACCAAAAGGGGGTCGCTGTGAGTCAGAATCAACTTGATGGCAGTGAGTTTTGTTTTGTTTTGTTATCCTTAAATTGTGGTATTTGACTGCTAACCAGGAGGGTGATGCTTCAAACCCACTAGCCACTCCATGGAAGAAAGATGAGGGAATCTGCTTCTGTAAAGATTTACCAGTTTAGAAACCCAATTGAGGGGTGGTGTCACTGAGTCAGAATTGCTCAATGGCAGTGGTTTTTTTATTTTTTGTATCTTTAAACTGTCAAAGTCTAATATTAATTTTTTGACTTTTCCCAGACAATGCAAGGACCAGAAAGCATTCTAACTGCATTTATTCCCATCCCAACACTTATTTTTTAAAATTTTATATAGACTTTAAATCTAACAATACATTTTTTTATAATCGCTATTTGTTTACATCTGTTTGCATATTTACCATTTTTGTGGCTGTTTCATCCCTTCTTACCTCCCAATTTCTCCATCTGAGGTCATTTTCCTTTAATGTATGTCAACCAGTAACATTTCTCAGTTTTTATTTATCTAAAAATGTCTTCATTTCATTGTCATTCTTGGAGGATATTTAGGATTGAGATAAAAGGTTCTAGTTGGCAATTATTTTCTTTAAGCGTTTTAAATGATCATTCCATTGTTATTTGGTTTCCCTTGTTTTTGTTGGAAATTAGCTGACAGTCTGTTGCTCCTTTGAAGGTAATAAATTCTTCTTCCTCTGGCTTGTAGTAGTTTCATTTCAAGAGATTTATTATAAGGTGCCTAGGAATCAACATTTTTTGTTGTTGTTGTTAGGGTTCATAGGCCTTCTTGAATCTGTGGTTTGATTTCTTTAGTCAACTTGGGAAATCTTGCTGTAATTAACTCTTTTTCAAAAAAAAAAAAAAACCTTTGTGATTTGGGTGA